GAAAATACAATCTAGGGACCGCCAACCCTCCACCATCCTTAGGTAGCTGTAAAATGGGTAGACAAAGCCTAGGTTGTTAGGTGAGTTGTGTAGAATATATAACAACTGGGGAGCCCAGATCATTTTGATAATGTTTGAACAACCCACAACAGACAGAGGGAGGTTACACCACTTTTTATTCTTAATTTTACATTTTTCTAATAATGGTTGTAAATTATATTGCAAATAATCTTGTACCATTCGATAAACCCAGATTCCTAAATATTTAAATGCCAGTACAATATTTATCTGCTGAGCACATTGGGGAAGCGCCACCTGATGAGCATCTAGAGGGAGAAGTATTGATTTGTCCCAATTATTACAGATCCTGAGAAGGACCCAAATATAGAAATAATGGACATAAGAGAAGAGAGGGACCTGTCCGCATCACCCAAGAACAGTAAGGCAGCATCAGCATAGAGAGCTAATTTATCTTCAGAGCTTCCCCTCCTAAATCAAACTATGGTATCTGATTGACATATGGCTGCTGCCAGTGACTCTATCGCTAAAGCGAATAGAAGAGGGGAAAAAGGGCAACCCTGGTGTGCTCCCCTATGGATGGGAAATAAGTCCAAGTAAGAAAACATTAATCAACATGGTGGCCTTCGGGGCAGACTATAATAGCTTCACCCAGCCAGTGAAGCAGTCACCTAAACCAAAAAGGTTTAATACTTCCCATAGGTATGGACATTCAACGCTATAGAACACTTTAGCTGTGTCCGGCAACAAAATGACCCTATTGTTCATGCTGTCTGATGCTAGTTGCTGGTTTAAAAATAGTCTGCGGATGTTAATAGCTGTCAATCTGGTGGGTATAAAGCCTGATTGGTCGGGATGTACCAGTCGTTGCATGACCTTACCAAGTTGATTGGCAAACACTTTTGCAAGGAGTTTGATGTCCGAATCAGAAGGGAGATGGGACGGTAAGAATCAGGGTGTAAAGAATCTTTTTCCGGTTTTGGTATCACTATTATATTCATAGAGTCTGGGAGATATTGTAAGCCAAAGGCTGAGTTAAATACCCCCAGGAATTCTGGCAACAGGATATCTCCAAATCATTTGTACATTTCAGAGGGAAGGCCATCTAACTCCGGAGCCCTATTTTTAGGAGTCTCAGTTATCGCATTATTTAATTCTTAGATGGTTTAATTGCTGTATTCTATGATCAACATGATGTGCATTGTGCCATTTTTGGATGCTACTTCCAAAAATAAAAAATGTATAAAAAAAGAATCATATTTCTGTGATCTAAGTTCATTCATGCTAACTGATTGGTTGGTTGAACAGAAAGGGCGATTACAGCCCATGATCAAGCAAGTGAGCAGACTTCAGAACACAGGTGAAGACAACTCCATTGGAAAAATAAAACAGGTTTGTTTTTTCTTGGATGTTAGTTCAACATCCAAGAAAAGCTTAAATACCAGGTTTGCTGAAAAAAATGTTTAGTTATAGCTGTTTTAGCCCAATGTACAATATTTTAGAGCCTGTGTCATAGTTTTTTAAACATTTTCAATCTTGAGGCACAGTACTTACAAGTCATGTGATCTTTCAGGCACTGTATTAACATTCTATAATAGTGATTTATCAGGAAACTGTCAGGCAAAGTAAAAAGACTCAGCAAAACACTGAAGATTACTTGCCTGGCACGAGTCAAAGTTATAAGCATTTGTAAGCAGGTTTTAGAATGAAAATGTCAGTCAGCACACAAAAGCATATGCCAAAACATTTACAGTACACTCCATAACAGTTTTTTCCCAATCATCTTCGGATGATATGAAGTTTGTAATGTGTCTTTGTCATTCAAGACATTGGCAGAAGATGAATTAATAGAGCTTCACTATAGAAATGTTCTGTGGGGAATTGGCGTTTTTGGCATCACGCCCTTTTTGAACAGATCAAACAAAGATGTATAGTCATTACAGAAGTGTAATAGGTACTAGGCAAAATGGATAACAATTAATGTTACAGTGGTGCTGTCACTTAGGCAAAAGTAATAAAACACAAACAATATGCATACGTAGGGCAATAATTATTTATGCCTCATTTCTTCTAGGCTTTAGTTATGTCAGGAAATGCGCACCTGGATTGGCACTTATTGTAGAGATTAATGATTTGCAAGATGAGCATACCCAGTCTATGTATAAAAGCTTTATGAATTAGTATTAAGTGCAAACAAAAAAAATATGAACTCACACCTTTGTGTGTACTCAGGATTTATGTGTAAGTGCTGAACAGGAGATTAATATATAATATATATGCATACCTTGCACCCATTCATGTGCCCCAATTGAAGGGTTCAGTAAATAGCCATCCAGCCAGATCTGTTCTGTTACTGCTTACAATTACAAAGGATTGAACTAGCAATGGCAAAACTTCCCCAGGGATATCAGTGCTTGTACAGTAAACCCATGTAGATTCACATACAAAACCTAAGCATCATGCTGCCAGGAACCTATTGTTGGCTGTCAGAGAGATGATGCATTTTTTTTTCATTTTGCATACACGTACACTTGTTTTTGGGCATGGAAGTCTAAGTGTGCAAGATTGCTTAGAAACGCCCACAAAATGGCATGCATGTGGACACACAAGTATGCCCACCACAGATTATGGCACCTAATGAACTATTTAAATCTAAGACCTGCATGGGATTAATGTTGGATGGCCTTTCAGCTTGTATCTGTTATCTTTCAGCCTGAATCCTGCTTGGCTCTTTTTTGACCCAGCTTTCAACTGACCTGTCTCTGGACTACCCCTGCCTGTTTTTTGTCTGCTGCTTACCTGTGTTACCAACCTTGGCCTGGACTCTTGACCAAGATTCTGTCTATTGATTCTTTACCACATTGTCTGCACATTTCCAGCCTCTATTCATCTCTAATCTTGATCCTGCTCATGATTTGGTACCTTCCTGTCCAGATGTTACCAAACTTGACTTGTGATCTGTCTCCATTCTCTAATGGTCTGGGTGAAGGTGGGGTGCCTTCAATGCTGTGCTTCTGCTTACCTGACACTAGCACTCCCAAGTTCAAGTCCACAATTCCGGCTTCCTGGCACCGGCACACTTCCATTGCCCTAGCAGTCCCTGTCTCAAACTCCAGGGGTGCTCAGACGGAAATGATGCAAGAGGCCACCCTCATCATCTCTAGCCCTAATACAGGTATGTGACACATGCGCATAAGATAAGACGTCAAACTCCAAAAAATACATGGTTGAATGCATTTTGTGTGGAGGTACTTGAGTGGCCTACACAGAGGCCTGACCTTTGTCCTCCTGAACACCCTTGTTATGAACTGAAATGCAGTTTTCACTGTGCCAGACAAGGCCATGTACAATAGCCTGAACATTTTCCTGTACATCAGGACCCAATGTTTTCATCAGAATACATTTATTTATTTCTGCTTATACAAGATTCTGAAATGTTAAAGTCCAACACACTCAAGAATAAGATAATGACTGTTCATTGAATGATTTTTAATGGTAAATAGTGTTCCAATGCAGTTATGCATATCAAAGTGTAATGCAACAACCACAGATAATGAAATGATTTTGCCATCCGAGACTTACTGAAAAAAGTAAATAATAGTTTGTCAAAATTAGCAACACAAGAAGAGTGAATAACTCAAAGAATCTTCTAAAAAGCAAGAAAAGCTCATGTTCAGGTTCTGATTCCTGAAACTGGAAGTAGAAAGAGTTTGAGGATATTGCAGTTCGTTAATAGTCATACAAAGACAGCAGTGATGTCACATTTACTTTTTCTTTCACCACTCAGCTCCAAATTTACCATTTTCTATGGAGAGGCATCCCAGTGCAACAAAATTAATGTGTTCCATTGTTTTTCTTTTTAAAAGTCATAATGGAAGACTTCAGCTCAGTATTCCTTCTAAAGGATCATTTTATGGCGGAAGTATGGAGACTGGCATTGCTGACTCCCCTTTTGAAATTACTATTTCCTTGTCTGTTATACTGATCCAATGGCTTCAATAATGTATGTGTCATTGACTTGGAATGTGCAAATCAGGATCACTGATTTCTATGACTTCTAAGAAGTCAGAGTCTCAGAAAGTACTGAAGCTATCCAGGCAACTAGTATTTCTGTTGGAGGTCAGAAATATGTGCCTTCATAATGTGCTTAGTATAGGTTTCCTTTAAGAGTAAATAAATGAGCACTACCCTTGATGTGTAGACATGTTTGCTTATGTTGAAGTACTCAATTAGCAACAGCATGTGGGTGTTTGCTAGAGAGTTTAGTAGACATGTAAATGAGGCAAGCATTTATGTGACATGATTAAATCACTTCACAACTCTATGAAAACAAGTCTACAAGAAACCTACACTTGTTATATGTTTCCTTTCAAGGAAATGTAGGACTACGACAATAGCTTTGTGAACAAGAACAATCTTCCTGTGTATTCATGTAGCTCTGAGCCCAAATATATGTGGCATTCTTCATACCTCCTAGCATTATTAGATGGGAAAGATCAACAAATTTTATGGGAAAATATTCCGGTAAAGGACACTCCTCACATCAAACACGTGTGCTTTTTTCACCAGCACTTATTATAATTTGAAATGTGGCTGCAATACTGTAGAGCTGGCATCGCCAAATGGCAGACTGCTTTCTGGACCAAACCAAGTGATATTTCTATCCTGACCAATAGCAAGCCAGTTCCCAGCAAAGACTTCCCTTCTTCTCTGCTGTAATTGGTTGGACCACCAGTGTTCTAACAACCAGTGACATCACATGCATGCCCTGCTCCCAGCATCACAGGAGGACGGAAATGGAAATTCCTTCATCCAGACCTGCAATTGGCTCAACCGCCTAGTTTCTGTCCTGGAAATTTCATAATTATTATTTTTTATAAACATAAAATGACTGTATACACTATATTGTTAAAAGTATTGGGACACCCTTCCAAATCATTGGATTCAGGTTCCAATCACCTCCATGGCCACAGGTGTATAAAATCAAGCACCTAGGCATGCGGACTGCTTCTACAAACATTAGTGAAAGAATGGGTTGCTCTCAGGAGCTCAATGAATTCAAGCGTGGTACCATGATAGGTTGCCACCTGTGCAATAAGTCTATTCGTGAAATTTCCTTACTACTAAATATTCCACAATCAACTGTTAGTGGTATTATAAGAAAGTGGAAGCAACTGGGAACAACAGCAACTCAGCCACCAAGTGGTAGGCCATGTAAAATGATAGAGCGGGGTCAGCGCATGCTGAAGAGCACAGTGCGCAGAAGTTGCCAATTATCTATAGAGTCAATAGCTAAAGATCTTTAAACTTCATGTGGCCTTCAGATTAGCACAACAGTAGTGCATAGAGAGCTTCATAGAATGGGTTTCCATGGCCGAGCAGCTGCATCCAAGCCTTAAATCACCAAGTGTAATGCAATGAGTTGGATGCAGTGGTGTACAGCACGCCGCCACTGGACTCTAGAGCAATGGAGATGTGTTCTCTGGAGTAAAGAATCACGCTTCTCTGTCTGGCAATCCAATTGACATGTCTGGGTTTGGTGTTTGCCAGGAGAACAGGAGAACGTTACTTGTCTGACTGCATTGTGCCAAGTGTAAAATTTGGTGGAGGGGGGATTATGGTGGGGGGTTGTTTTTCAGGGATTGGCCTTGGCCCCTTAGTTCCAATGAAGGGAGCGCTTAAGGCATCAGCATTCCAAGACATTTTGGACAATTTGTATAATTGTATGGCGACGGGAGTAGACATGTGAGGGAGAGCTCCTGAGCCCCAAGTCCCAATCCGCTGCCATCCGGGCGTCAGTGGACCCTGGTGGGGCCCCCACGACCCTGTGGCCCCCCGACAAGCACCCAGGGAGGGGCGCTGGGGTATTTTCGGGCAAATCCCAGAGCTCTGGGACTTGCGTCCTACCGCGGCCCCCCGAAGCCGCAGCCTCAATTTTGCCACGGCCGATGCCAGTCATCGGCCCGGATCGGCGCCGCTCCACCCCCCCGCCACCGCTGACCTGCCTGCCTCCCTAGGGCCCTCCCCATCAGCCCTGGGTCCATCCCAGGCCACCCAGCACCCTGCAGCAACCGGCACGCAGTAACCAGCACCCAGCACCCAGCTAACAGTACCCGGCACCCAGCCTCGACCCAGGGGCTAACTCCAGGCCACCCAGCACCCTGAAATGACCAGCAAACAACACCCTGCCTCAGCCCAGGGGCCACTCCAGGCCACCCAGCACCCTGCAACAGCCAGCGCCCAGCACCCAGCCAGCAGCCGGCACCCAGCCTCGGCCCAGAGGCCACTCCAGGCCACCCAGTGAACCGAGATGCCGCCGCACCGCCGCTCTCTCTAGTGGGGTAAGCAGCCATCACCCCCACCGAAGCTGCCACCACTACCACCTCCACCAACACAGGTACCCAGGGAAGCCGCCGCCACAGGGAGGGAGAGCCCCTACATCCTGCTCCCATGTTTCCTGTCTACACTCAGAGGGAAAGCCATCAGCTCCTGTCCTGCCTGCACCATCAGGGAATATCACCAGCTCCGAGAGGGGACCACAACAGCGCAGAAGGCTCTCGCGTAGCCGCACACCTCACGGACACCCCAGCGGCCTCCCTGGCCCTCTCCGCTAGCACCAGAGCCACCCCTGCAAGACAGGAAACAGCCACACAATGTTCCTGACCCGACCACCCAGAGACCACTCACACCGACCCCAGCTCAACTTGACCTAAAGACTAGAACCCTAGATGTAAGACACCATAACGCGAAACCCCAATGCACGCCAGACTGTCTCCAATCAAGCGCCCCTGGCAACCATCCATCCACCCCCGATCCCCTCTCCCTACTCCCCTAAACTCTAGCTCCCGGAAGACACAGTGACAAGATACGCCACTGCACGCTGGACTATCGGCAGCCAAGCCTCTCCACCACTCCTGTCTGCCACCCCGTGCACCTCCCAAAAATGCCTCTTCCACTCCTCCTTCTCATATTCCTCTCCTCCGTTCCTAAAATCTATTCTCTATATGCCTCTGCTCCTCCCAAACAACTGTATAATGTGCGTCCTCACTGCTTCCTTCGCCCCCCTACGGCACCCACCACCTCCTCCTAATACTCCACTCTCCCACTGACCCGAACTCCTCCACTGGTAGACTTACACGCTCCTGCACATCCCGCTCCCATGCCACCTTTCTCACCCTCCTTCTCCTCCTAACCGCGGGGGACATCTCCCGAACCCTGGTCCTCCACCACCTCGCTCACCCACACAGCACCCTCCCACCCACTTACCCCCTCTAGTATCTGTCCCCCTGCTCCCTAAAACCACCACCCCCCCCCCCCCCCCCGTTTTCGTGTGCACTCCTAAATGCCCAATCGGTGTGCAACAAGCTCACCGCCATCCAACGACCTCTTTGTTTCCCGCTCCCTCAACCTCCTAGCGATCACGGAAACCTGGATCCAGGCCACTGACTCTACCTCCCCTGCTGCACTCTCCTATGGTGATCTCATCTGGACCCACTCACCCAGACCCAATGGTCATAAAGGTGGTGGGGTTGGTCTGCTCCTGTCACCACAGAGCACCTTCCGAGTCCTCCCAACCCCCCCCCTCTATCCTTCTCCTCCTTCGAGGCCCACTGCATCTGACTATTCTCCCCAACCCCCCTGAAGTTTGCCATAATCTACCGGCCTCCTGGACCCGTATCCCGCTTCCTTGATGACTTTTCTGCCTGGTTACCCTTCTTTCTCTCCTCCGAGCTACCCACCATCATCCTTGGGGATTTCAACATCCCTGTCAACATCGACAACCCGGCCTCATCCCAACTCCTCCACTTAACCTCCTCCTTTGCACTCACACAGTGCATACAATCCACCACCCACTCCAACGGAAATATCCTGGACCTTGTCTTCTCCCACCTCTGCGCTCCCCACAACCTCACTAACACCCCCTTCCCTCTCTCAGACCACAACCTTATTACCTTCTCTGTCTCCTCGTCCTCAAATGCCTACCCCTCCAAATGCAATACTACTACCAGCCGTAACCTCCGCAACCTGAACCCTGCCCCCCTCCACTCTGCAGCTGATCAACTCCACGACAGCATCCTCCCCCTGTCCTGCCCCGACCTGGCTATGACTGCCTATAACAACTCGCTGTCAGTCGCCCTTGACTCATTAGCGCCTTTAACCACACACGAAACATCAGACCCCGCAGCCTTGGCAGACTGATCACACCAAAACTCTCAAACAACACAGTCGTGCCCTGGAGTGACTATGGAGCAAAACCAGATCCCAACAAGCCTTCACCCGCTATAAATCCGCCTTCCACAGATACACCTCCGCCCTCCACGCTGCCAAACAAGCCTACTTCCTGACCCTCATCAAGACCCTCTCCTCCAATCCTCGCCGAATTTCTCCACCTTTAACTCTCTACTCCCTCCGCCCCCACCTCCACCCAGCACCTCACTCACCGCCCTTGAGATTGCAAATCACTTTAAAAACAAGATTGACACAATTTGCAAGGACATTGCCGCTCCTCAAACTCCCTCCAAACCCGTCCCCTCTCACACAGCTACCCCCTCATCACCCCTCTCCATCGGCCTCACCACTGCTCTGACCTCCACCCCACCTAACATTCCTCACACTGAAGCCCCCTCCACACTCCACACCTTCGACCTTACTACCATCGAGGAGGTCACCAAGGGCTTTTCTGACGCCCGCCTCACCACCTGCCCCCTCGACCTTATCCCCTCACAACTCCTACGACCCCCTTCCATCCTACGCTCCCTCACCCACATCTTTAATCTCTCCCTCTCTTCTGGTGCATTCCCCTCCCCTCTGAAGCACGCGCACATCACTCCCATACTTAAAAAGCCCTCCCTGGATCCCAACGACCCGAACAACCTCAGACCCATCTCCCTGCTCCCATTCTCATCCAAACTCCTCGAGCGCTTAGTCTACCATCACCTAAGCTCTCACCTCAACGAGAACAACCTCCTCGATCCCCTACAGTCCAGCTTCCGTCCCCTACACTCCACCGAAACTGCCTTACTCAAACTCTCCAACGACCTTCTAACCACCAAAGCTAATGGCCACTATTCAGTGCTCCTACTCCTCGACCGCTCCGCTGCCTTTGACACAGTCGACCACCCCCTCCTCCTCAAAAAAAATCACTCCCTCGGCCTAAGAGGTTCTGCTCTCTCCTGGCTCTCATCCTACCTATCACAACGCTCCTTCAGTGTTACCTATAATGATACCACCTCCCCCTCTCTGTTGGGGTCCCTCAAGGCTCCGTCCTCGGGCCCCTTCTCTTCTCCATCTACACCTCCTCCCTTGGCCAACTCATACACTCTCACGGCTTCAACTACCACCTCTATGCCAACGACACACAAATCTATCTCTCAACCCCCCACCTCACCACCTCTGTCTCCGCACAAACTTACTAAACGACATATCAGACTGGATGTCGCTCCACTTCCTTAAACTGAACCTCTCCAAAACCGAGCTCCTAGTCTTCCCCCCAGCTCGCACACCACCCCCCACTGACTTCTCCATCACGTCCAACAATGCCACTATCAGGCCTGCCCCACAGGCCAGAGTACTTGGTGTCATTCTGGACTCCAACCTATCCTAGCCCCAAGTCCAATCACTAACAAACTCATGCAGACTCCACCTCTGCAACATCGCCAAAATCCGCACGTTCCTAACCGCAGAAACCACTAAACAGCTCATCCACTCCCTCATCATATCACGACTCAATTACTGCAACTCCCTCCTCACTGGTCTGCCTCGCCGCTGGCTATCCCCGCTTCAGTCGATCCTGAACACGGCGCCAGACTCATTCACCTCACCAACCGCTCCGTTTCCGCCACCCCTCTCTGCCAATCCCTCCACTGGCTTCCGATTGCACAATGGATCAAATTCAAAATCCTAACACTGACATACAAAGCTGTCCATCATACTGCCCCAAACTACATCACCGACCTAATATCCAAGTACCACCCAACACGCACACTCCGCTCCTCTCAAGACCTCCTTCTCTCTAGTTTCCTGGTCTCCTCCTCCCATGCCCACCTCCAGGATTTCTGCAGGACATCACCTATCCTCTGGAACTCCCTACCACAATCCATCAGACTATCACCTACTCTCCTCTCATTTAGGCGCACCCTGAAAACCCACCTCTTCAGTGAAGCCTACCCCACCCACTGCTAATTGCCAACCTCCTCCACTCTTCCTACCACTTCATTCCCCACAGCTATCTCTTCCCATACCACTATCCCCTCCCTCCTAGATTGTAAGCTCGAAAGAGCAGGGCCCTCTAACCCCTCGTGTATCACATTGTATTGTTTTCGTACTGGCGCATGTTCTGTCTCCCTTTGTAATGTACAGCGCTGTTGGCGCTTTATAAATACTGTATAATAATAATAATAAATTTCATGCTCCCAACTTTGTGGGAATAGTTTGGGGATGGCCCCTTCCTGTTCCAACATGACTATGCAGCAGTGCACAAAGCATGTCCATGAAGGCATGGATGAGAAAATTTGGGGTGGAGGAACTTGACTGGCCTGCACAGAGTCCGGACCTCAACCCAATAGAGCATGGGATGAATTAGAGCGGAGACTGAGAGCCAGG